TCCTCATTCGCTCAAACGTGTAAATTTACTACTCGATAACTAATGTTACTTTGTACCGCAGTACATGATATTTCTTCTTAGTTTAACCCAATCTACCACTATTTTCAAAGTTGCTACTTTTGCATCAGACACCCTGTATATGTCTAAAGTATATAATTGTTTGCATTGTATTGTTATATATAGATATTATTTACATATATTTATATAAAAATGTTAAAAGAAAGTAGATATACAGTATATGTATATTATTCTGGTATTTATTAATTTTTTTATATTTAAAAGAATTTTACACGTTTAATGGCTTTAACAGATTCTGTATTTCCTTTTTATTGTTACATAACTGTCTACATAACTTTATTATATTAGAATATAACATAGACCAGCTACAAAATATAAACGGTCTTGTGACGTAAAAAAAAGTGATACGGCGTTAAAATAAATCAAAATAAAATTAATTGGATCAACCAACGTCAAGCTTGAGGAGCAATCTCCTATTCGCATAGATATACAGTACATCCTCTCCTACAAGCTCTCCTCTCCTACATTCCCATAATTTTCTTTCCTAAAATATGGTTTCAATGTATCTGTGAAATTTTATTTTACCTAGTTTTCTTTTATTCTTTAAGATTTCATTTGTTTTCTTACTGTTTATCCTTTTCAATTCTTTCCAATTCCTTTTCCAGTTCATCATTTTTTCCCTTTTGTTTACGGAGGTAAGTCAAATGATTATTTATGGCAGATCCCACCTTTGCCTTGTCAAACTTACTTTTATGTTGTTTTTCAACTGAATCTGAAAAGTACATTTAAGGATGATAAAAATATATAAATATACGAAAAAGGATACATAAGAATAAAAAATTTTAAGAAATTGACGGTATAAATAATTAAAAGTCTTACAATAAATTGCCTGCATAATATTTTTATCTAGAGCTTGTTTTTGTTCTTGTTCATTTTCAGATTTTATTTTGCATTTCCCACCGCGTAAGTTACTGACCAACAATGTTTCTATTTGAAAAATTACATCAACCAAATAAGTTGCCATACTCGTTTGGGTTGGTTTGGCACAAGCCTCGTACCAGTGGTATTTTTTAATAATTACACCACTGCCTATTCTCCCAATCTCAATATCCTATAAATGACAGTAATATATTAGACAAATGAATCAACGTTTATAATTTTTTATTCTTATCAATAAGGATAAAGTTACTTTTTCATTTTCCTGTCTTTCTTCTTCCCTTTCATCAATGTCCCTCAAATGAACTGATGTTATATTAGTTGGAACATTTTCCTTTTGCACCAGATTATGAAGTTGCTTTTGCATATCTGCAAGAGCTACAAGATATATTTTATTATAAGTTTAATTCTTCATACGTTTAAATATATTTAATTTCTAAGAAATGATGTTTACCGTTCATGACTACGTCAAATTGCGAGTGTTCCGACTGTGAGTTACTATTTTCAGTCGGATAGTTTACCAGCTCATTTCTGTGATATTTATTTTGTACAGACTATAAAAAAAGAAAAGTTATTAAATAGTTAAATGCTGTTTGTTCAACAGTTGTAGAGTCAATAAAACCAACAGATGAATAATGTATGCCGAACAGTACTTACTTTATAGAATTGAGTACTGGATTTGCAGCTATGAAGTTCTTTAGTATCCTGCCTTGGTTTGTTTGTTTGGCTCAAAATATTCAGTCCTTCTCTTTGTATATTTTCAGACCCTGAACTAGAACAATCACTTTTATGGGAATCTATCACCGGGAGTCTTCTTATTGGTAGTGGCTAAAAACAATTTTCGGTTAATTTCCATAATTAAATAAATTAATAGTAATTATTACCGAGCTTGTAAACATTTTTACTATTAAAACGTGTAATTGATTGATATTAATTAAAAATACCAAAATTAATTAACTCGCGATAAAAATTAAAGGTAAAAAATAATTAACGAGTAAAAATTCTGTAATCCATTAAAATGAGTTTTAAAAATTCTTGTTGTAAAACGAAAAGTCTCAAATTATTTTAATATCTTAAAGTAAGAAGTAATTCTTTGAAACAAAGGTTAATTTTAACTGAAATGACAGAAATTGTTCCAACAATAATCCATATTTACATTAATACAAACACCAATAAGTATTGACAATTTTTTCAATCATCTAAAATAATAGCAGTTTTAATAAGTTAAACATTCATTAAATTAAAGAATAATTTTTTGTTCTTATGTGGGTTTCCTTCTGCTCGTAAGCTATATATCTAAATATAATCTAAGTCACCATAATCTAAGTATCATTAATATAGTTTATCAGTTAAGAACTCGGACAGATTAAAAAAATTGTATAACAGCATAGATGATAGAAAATCCGAAACATTACCGAATTTTATGCATATGAAATAAAAATTTAGTTTTTAAACTCAATTTTACTATGCAATTGTAGTTTCAAATACTACATGTTTTTCTATCAGTGTACGTACGTACACTGTAGTTGTACTAT